GCTCTTGCAGTAAACAGGAAACTTTCTGAATACTATATCTGAAAATAGCTATCCCAAGAAATACTTGCCCGGATATTGAATTGCTTCCTGATTCTTCTCCGGAAATAACCAGTATAGATCGCTATCAAGAGGACAGAGCTAAGTCCCATATATAAATATATATGATGCCTTGTTACAGAAAAGGCAATTAGGCTGATCAGGACAGCAGCTAACAGAATGCAGTAAACCATTCCCTGAAAGAAAATTCATCTAGCATCAGCAAGGTGAATAAGAGTAAGACATTAAAATTAACAGCATAAGAGGGAGCTAGACTCAAATAAACTTGTAATAAACAAGGATAACTTAAAATTGGTGGCAACAAGATTGTCACAACACCACAACTATGGATGTATATAGCAGACAGAGAGGTTAGAGCCACCCAGTCTAGGCGAGAATCATCAGCACCCTTAATATATATACAAGGAGATATGTTGAAGAAGAGTATAATCTCCTTTCATCACTTTGTTAAGGATAACAAACTGACCATATAATTCAATATAGTATTGCACATAATTGATGCTGGATAATATGAGATGAGAAACCCCAACAACACGTTTGTGAAAGCACTGACTGAGCTAAAGATAAAAACAAGTTGGTCTTTCAAGGCTGACAGAGTGGTTAAAATGAGTAAAATATACTGGCACCAATCTGTCAGGCAAGTCCAACGTGCAGTCTGATTCCCTCCAACATAGAAATATAGAATATTTAGAATGAGAGGCGCACATTTTACTGGAGCATACACTCTGTGCAGAGTCAAATAAAAAAGACAGGCTATTAAGCTAGACCAGGTCTAAGACATGCCACAGGAATAAGGGATTATCCAAAATGCTGTTCACATCGCCAAGTCAATTCAAACGAGCTACACATCAGCCACTACATTGTATAAGCACAAGGCTGAGAAAATGGCAGTTTTCCTATGGTTGTCCAAATAGCATGGTGGCGGCTTGCATTTCACGCCTTATCAAGAACACAACAAGAAACATAGTCGCTTGCAGCTTACATAACATACCTGTACAGCAATATGACTACACTTTTTGGACACGAAAGTAACAGCAGAAAATAGACGAAATATGCTCATTCTCTGGTGAATGGGTTATCTGTACCTGAAGGAAGCAAGACAGTTGCAGGCAAACAACTTTAAAACGTATCACAGCAAAGTTTAATCATAGTTGACGAAAAAAAATGTTGTATAACAAAGAAAGGTGGAATATTTTTGCACAAACACTAGAATAGTATCAAAGCAGAGGCTACGACACCATTTTGGGGAATGTTCCCTATCCCTGTTGTCGACAATTCATTTTAAAATATGATTTTTATTATTATTTTTTGTATTGACGACTGCAGCAATAGAATTGTCATAAGTCCAATTCATCACTAAATTCTGGCGGATGCCATTTGAAGAGAAAGCTTAAAATTTGAGCAAAAAATTCTGACAAATCTCAGTGGAGGAGCTGCCTCCTCTGCATGAAAACCTCGCTCAAATTACTAAGCAAGGTTGCCATTTCAAATAGTATCTCTCCATTTGTAAACCTCTGGACGAAGAACAACCTCCTTCGTTCCTAAATCCGCACCGAAACCAGTCCATCCGTTACGGGAAAAAAGGAATCCGCCTTCAATGAAACGCCCAACAACCGAGCTCTGCTCCCTCGACCAACACGACAAGATCCTCCCAACCAGAACCATTACCGTTACAGCTGTATGAAACAACGGGGAAGAAGAGGTTAGTTCCACCTACCAGGACGCCTCGAGCGCGATTCGCCGGTCCTCCAGGCAATCCAGCACGACGTCGCCCTCATGGGCGGATCTATATTCATGGCCCCACCGAAATTACAAAAACAGACTATACACACACCCATACGATAAAAAGCTATACACCCCACAAGGTAAACGCACCCCCTTTAAATTTGCTTTAGCTCCGTCACTGGTCGCCCTCCCACATCCTCTGCACCCCTCCGCTGCCGCCGCCGCCGCCGCCGTCGCATGGCCGCCCGCTGCAGCGCCAGCAGGGCCTTCCTCCCTCTCCGACGGCAGACAGACATGACGGACGCGCACATGCATGTCGAAGTCCAGCACGGCCGCCACCCGCCCTCCCCCCCGCCCCCCCCCCCTCCCACCAAAGTTCTTTTGCGATCCCGCCATTGCCGACACTCCTCCTCCGCGCGCCGCGCCACATGCCATTTCCTCCACCTCCTCTCTGGCTCAGCTAGTGCCGGCCCTAGGGGTAGGGCACGAGGTGCGACGGCCGAGGATCCAAGCCCAGGTATACAAACCCTAGGTTCTATAGTCCATTAGGTATTAGCAAACTAATGAGAAGAGAGACATAGGACTGGCCAGACGGCTCAAAAAGACAATATCGGCATTTTTTTTCTAGTTTCCTTCCCCACGGCCCTCGGATAGAGAGGAGGCAAGGAGTCACGCTGCACACAGCACACTCTGATCGTGAGTTCGCGACGTGCGCCTTACACACGCGAAGCTGACGAGCCGCGAAGAGCTAGACTACATGAGACACGGACACGGCGCACGAGGACGGCCACCAAGCAGGGCTCCATGACGACGACATCTTGATTCTTCGCTTCTTATGAATTACGATCACCGATCAGTTGTTTAGGCCCAAGGTATTTTTTTATTTTTATTTTTAATCCAAATTAATTATTTGTATAGTATTCCAGACTTCTAGTATTTTATACCCATATAGTCATATTTTTCTTTTAATTTAGATGTTAGAATTTTAGAATGTTACCTAAGAAACATTTGTCATGGGTGAAAAAAGAAAATGAATATATTAGTTTTTTTAATCTACATTGTTTCTCGATAATTATCATGCATCTACAAATATATTGCTTAATCTACATTGTTCCTCGATAATTATTTAAATTAAAAATATGTTATTGAATTTGTTTTCATTTTATAAGTAAAATTAACGCATATATATTATAAGATTTTATACAAATTCCAGAGAAACAGTTGCGACGAGCCTTAAAATCGTAGGACCGGCACTGGCTCAGCCTCTCCCTCCCTCCCTCCCTCCCTCCCTCCCTTTGAAAGCTTTCCGCTTAGTTGCGGGGTTCCGTATCGCATCGGGTTTTTTAACGTCTAATAAATCGCCTTCGATTACGAGAGGGAGGGAAGCGCACATTTGGATCGGTAAATCTTGGGGGGCACTTCGACATACAAGACGCACCAGCTTCCATAACGACCTCACCCACCGACGGGTGGGTCCATGGCGACGACCAGGTACGCGGTTTGTTTTCCGGGCCCATGTATCAGTTATGTATTGGTAAAGCGGGTAAGGACGGGGGGTGCTGGTTAAAACGGGAGATTACCCGTGGGAACGCCGGTGGCAATAATAACGCGCGCGCGCGTGATTGGAGTAGTTTAGAGGTGGTTGGGACGGCCCGCCAGACTGGTGGGCGGGTCGGTGGGGGCCATGTGTCAGCGGGAGTAGGTGGCTGCGTTCCTATCCACTGCTGCGGACACGCCTCCGCGGCCCGCGGCCCACGACGGACAGGCGGAGGCGCAGCCGACCAGCCGACGCTTCGGGGGCACCAAACGTGTACCTGAAACTTGCATCAGCTAAAATTCGGCCGGTTTTGGTTTCTTTCTGTGGTGACGCTAAATTCGGCCGGCGCTCAAGCTTTGCATTTTAGGCAAGCCAACAAATAATAGTCATGCCAATCTGGATGCCCATAATAGAATGTACAGCATGTAGGTCCTAGTCTATATACTCCCTCCTTATTCAAATTTTACTGCACGTTAACTTTGATGGAAGTCCTTTTTTACCAAGTCTGTAACATCAAATCAGTTGACTAATTTTTCTATGAGATCAGATAATGCGCTTTTTGAACATGTAGAATTGATATATTTTTACTAAAATTTTGATCAAAGTTAGAGAAATTTGACTTACGATGAATATAAAGTGACTTAAGTGGCGCCAGACCAGCCGGCTGCTCCCCCTCACATTTTACTGTTCACCAAACCAGTCAAACAGTATTCTCTCTCACACAACCAGCCAGTTTCAGCCAAGTTTCAGACCAGCGAACATGGCCATAACTAGCAGAAACCTCCACGCAGTTGCGCAGCTAGAGTGTGGTAATTTAAAACAGTAGAATAATTATATATATTAGAATTCTTGAATACTGGCGCCTGGACTGAATCAAACTGTACAATCTTTTCATAATAAAATATAAAGCGATTGTTCCGAATGGGGAAAAAATCTTGAATTGTTGCCTTTGTTTAGGTGTCTCTAACATATTCTTAGCAAAACATCTGAGAAACTGAAGTCACCTAGAAAAAAAAGGCAAAAGATGATTTTGCTCATGTGCAAAATAATAGGAAACGTATCAGCTCTAGAGAGAAAATTCACCTAGAACTTAAACATGATTTTCCTCGGAATCTATCAGCTCTATACGTGTAAGCATACTCAGAAATGGAGGACGCCACAGCATAAAGCATCTGCAGACCGTAGATATGAGGCTTCAATGCAGATTTGATTCCTTGCACGTAGGTAGGCTTGTGCTCTGCATGATGAGAGACAAACATGGTAGAAGTTAATGGACTTTTGTGCACATTTCTGTACCCTAAAATTGCTCTGTAGTGTTTATCGTACTGAAGAAAAGCACCTTCATTTACAAACCTGTGAATGCATCTGGCCCGTAGCAAAGTGCAACCATCAGGACTGCGTTTCTCATAGGGGAATGCTCTTCAACAGGCAAATTTCAGGTATCTTTATTTGGTGGACAGGAACTTGTAGCAGAATCTGTAATCCAAGAAGGTACTCATCCTGCGCCAGTACGCATTCGTAGTAGGCGGTTGATCCTAGATACAGGAACCAAAAAGAACATTAGTTCTTTTAAGGCGACAAAATTTCATAATTTATAAGTAACAAATAAAGCAAAAAACATCTGGGAAGGAACATGAATTCATTAAAACCTTTGGCAACAGATGTAATAGGTCGACAACATTCAGGACACTGTCCTCCATAAAGAACCCCACCAGTCAGCTGCAATTAATTAAAAAAAAGTTAAAAGTTGCAGCAGCTTACAAAGGACATGATCACTATCAGGCAATTTATTACAGAGGTATTAGCTGCACACTGACAGGAGTAACAACATATCAATACCTGCACTGGTTTTGTCATTTAGTGCTGACCATCGAGCTTCTGGATCTCCAAATAACCCTCTCATTTGAATGAACCGAGAAAATTGATCAATTGCACCTGAAGCTAACTTTGCAGCCTTCTTGATTGCCATGGCTAAAGCAAATTGGGAACTTGACTTTTTTGCAAGGCTTGACCTGTATAATTCCGGAAGATCGCTATATTAGAAAGATAAGAAATGGAAGCAACATTACAAATTTAGGATGGATGCAAAGAGGCATTAATCGAACAAAATTTCAGATCAGTACATAGCTGTTACCTGCATGAATAAGTGCTTCATTGAGTAGATATCGAAGTCTTTTACTGACTACTTCAGGTATCTTATGAAAATCTCGTTTACCATGTTTTTTTTTAATTTGCCACTTATCTCATTATACGCCTGTGTCATGTTTTGATCGAAGCCAGATACAGTACCATTCTTTTGTTGATCAACATAGCGAAGAACACAGAAAAGTTCAACTGTAGACATGTCCATTGCCATCCTTCTTGCTGCAGAAACCTGGGCACGGTTATTTGGTTAGTAACAAAAAATGTTGGAGGCAAATCACCGACAACTATCATGAAGTAGGAACATCCAAGGCAAGCCAAAATCCAAACTTACTCGCTAATCGCATCATACACTGAACATGATGATGCTGGATGCAGAGGGCATGACGATGGGCCTGTACACAGCACGGATGGAGGGGCAGACGACGACGCAAGGCGATTTCGCTGGAGGAAGCAGCGTGCCTGGGGGACTGGCCTCGATGATGCGGGTGAGGAACAGGAGGTGAGGGCGTGGACATGGAGGTCCGAGGAAGGGAGGGACGCTGGTACCTGGATCTGCTGTGGCCGGAGGCCTCGCGCACACCGGCACCAGGGCTGCGCCGCTAGGGTTTGGCCGCGGCGGCGCTCCCGTGCTGGCATGACACATCGTCGGGTCGACAGCTTCGAGAAGAGGGAAGGGTGGAACGCACGACGCTGGGAGAGGCGGAGGACGGCGTGAATCCGAGCCGGCGAGGGCGGAGCGGCGGCCCAGTGGCACCGGCAGCGTCTCAACGTCGAGGGGAGGCAGGGGAGGGGCGGACGGCGCCGGGCAGCGTGCCCTCGGCGGGGAGCGGCGCCGGGACGCCGGTGGTCCTGTGGACACCGAGGGAGGCGTGAGGGAGAGAGCGAAGGAGAAGCGGAGGGGATCGGCAGCACGTTCGTTTGGCCGTGGCGTATGGTGAACGATCGTAAATTTATTTTTCTCTCACGTAAATCAGACAACAGTATTTTTTCATGAGCCAGCAACAAAACAAACCAGCCAGCCTGCCTCGCGTTTGCTGGAGCTGCAGCGGCACCCTAGAAGCGCGGGGGCCACAGGGTTGGGAAGGGCGTGGACGGTTCCGGAGATACTGATCTGCTGCGGTTGATTTGGAATCGGACGTGCAGGAAAAGCAGATGACGTGGCTCACTGAGGGATCAGTAGATGTAGTCTAGGAATAAGGGTAAAGGTAGATTCAGAGTGAAACAATAACTTTGTTTGAAGTTATTTTTACTAAACTTTATATTGTTTTTTCTTTGCCAACACAAAGAAGCTATAATAGGATAATTCTGCATGAACCCTCGTCATAGATTATATGTTACATGCCTATCTACTATTAACGGGTATCCTTCTTAGATGAGGTGGTGTATTCTCAACACGATTTATAACCTTTTACAAAAGTGAAAGTATTTTTTTCTTTTATTGCAAAATGATATTTCATTGGTTTTGCAATGTTTGTCTAACACCTGATGTGACCTAACCAAAAGAACATATTTTCCCAAGAAAAGATTAAGGGAGTGTTTGACACGACTCCTCCTAAGGGGCTCCTACAGAGGAGTCATAATTTGTGGCTTATCAAAACGGCTCCGGATCCTCTACTTTTTACTAAAAAAATGGCTTCTCCAAAAAAAACGTTTGGCTAGACTCCTATGGAGGAGCCAGAGCCGGAGCCGGAGAGGAGCCCTACTAAACAGATCCTAAAGTGAAATGGCCATCTATACCTTTAATAGATACAACCACTTCTATTGTTCTCTTTCTTCTCTTGTTTCAAATCATTTCATCAGGGTTAGAGGTGGAACATCAATAGGTACACTCTTGATATTGTCGATGGACATGCACTGTGGAATATGTTTTCCTGACGTCATGGGCAAAAATTAGTAGAATAGAGGGACTAGCATTTTTCTTAGCGAGAATTATTTATTTAGCACTGAAACAAATCAGTGTTTCGTATTTGGCACTCGAAAATTTGAACTTTCTTATCTGGTATCAAGTTGAAATTTCCTTTCGTAAATGGCACTGCCGTCCATTTAGGACAGTAACGGTGTCAAGTGACTGGTAAAAAGACATGAATACCCTTGTTTGCATCAGAAATCCACGGTGCAAAATAGGGAAGTTCAAGTATTTTCGTATGGACGATATTGCCGGAGCTCTTGCGCAGCCCCGTGCCATCGCCCTAGCAACCCGACGCATAGACCCCGTACCAACGTCCCCGCATCGCCGCCCTACCGACTGAAGGAGGCAGGACGATGGCGTGTCGCTGCCCCCACGGGAGCACCTAGCTCGCTTTGCCACAACCTCGCTAGTGTCGCTTATTTGGTCATCGTGGTCTCCGCATGTCGCCTGGCCGCATGAGGTCTCTGCAAGCACCTGGCGCCTCACCATGCATCGGGCGCCATTGCCGTGGCCTCCCGACGCGAGCTCCCTACTCATTTGCCGCGACACGAGGTCCGCTCGTCTTTGCTCCCCGTCGCGAGGTCTTCCCAACTCCCCGCACCAATTCCGACTCCCAACTTGCTCCCAAATCCAAACGAGAAAAGGCTCGCGTATGCTGCGCCTCGCTGCGGTTTGGTTGCGCTCGCGCCCGAATTCTCTGGGCGTCCCCCGCCATCGCCATGGACGGCGACCACGACCACGACCGGGGGACACCGACATGCCGCCATCGCGGCCGTCGGGGGCGGTGCCCGTCTTTCTGCTCCTCCTCCTCCTCCTCGTCGGCCGTGGCGTGGTGGCAATCCGTGAAGCGGAAGCTGGGCGCGGAGAAGGGAAGGAGAGCGGGAGGCGGGGACGACGAGGCGGGCCTACTGGCGCTGGTCGAGGCGGAGGACAAGTCTTGTGCGCGGCGGCCGCGAGGCGGTGGCAGCGTGTGTCGGTGCGCCAGCTGGGCCGAGGTCGAGGAGGAGAGCCTCATGCGCAGCCGGGCCGCCGCCAATGAGGCCATGGCCATGATGCTCGCTGCTGTAGCGAGAAGGCCGAGGTCAAATGGAGCTCCGCCAATTCCGCCGCCGGCCGACTAGAAGATGGCGCTCGGCGCCGCCGACATCGACCAGCTCAGCTGGCGCTTGCGCAGCTAGCTAGCGGCCGCCTAATCACAGTGCAGTTCCTCCACCTCGGCATCCCGCTTCCCGAGGGCAAGGGCGAGGACCTTGTCGCGCAGAGCGCCGCCGAGGAGGAAGAGGACCTCCTCCTGCTCGAGGGCGAGGATGGCTACGTCGATGGCGATGGCGGGTACTACCCTGAGCTCCACTGCAACGATGGGGAGTACTACTACGAGGACGGGCAGGTGGAAGAGGATGTGGTTGCCCTCGATCTGGAGCGCCGGATTTGCCGCCTCGAGCACGATCACAAAACTTGCCTACTTGAGCCACCCCTTGAGGAAGAGCAAGAGGAAGGCACCCACCTCTACACAGATGAGGCGTTGCCGAACTTGTCAGGGCATGAACGAGGTGAGGGAGAGAGGAAGGGGAGGCGATGGGAGCAACTGCACGGCAACGACGGCTGCATGGGCGGCGTGGAGGTAGGTAGAGGTGTAGCGGCGTGGGAGTCTTCTGTGTATAGGGAGGGTACATCGGACACCGTGAAAAAAATTGACACGGTCGAACCAGTCATCTAACAGATTGATTGATGAAAATGGACAGCAATGCCATTTGTGAAAAGAAAATTTCAACTTGATGCCAGATAAAAAAGTTCAAAGTTTTGAGTGCCACATACGAAACACTGATTTGTTTCAGTGCCAAATAAATAATTCTCTCTTTTTCTTAGCCAGATTAACTTAGTGCCTGCATTTTGAGTGGCAAGATGTATAGCTACAAGTACCCATAGCAATGGTTAAAAACAAGCAAGCAATCACGGTGCTGTTGCTCGTGTTTTCTTTTAACTCGTGACGTTGTTTGCTTTCACACGGTAATGGTGGGCAAGTGAGTGTATAATACACGAAGGAAGGGATGTCGTGCCTCCCCAAGGAAGTGCGGGCGGAAAGGGACGGCAATCCCAGCCGTGCACCGTGCACCGTGCACCATCCGTGGTGCTGTCTCTGCCTGTGTGCATTATTGCGATCCGTTGCGGGGTTTCCTTCCAATAATCTTACGCGTACACATGCATGACGCATCACATACAACAGAGGGCCGTTCAAGCAAATCATTTGCAGCCTGAAAGCTCAAATATAAAGTAAACCCCCACACTAACACGCATTAACAATCGGTAATTCTTTGATTCGAGCATCTGACTCTTACTCGGGTATCAGACGGACGCTGGAGTGTGGGGACCATGTGACACAACCTTCGTTTATTAATATCTAGTCAATTCATCATCATTTGTCCATCTCCCACTCCGTGGCCCGCCCCGCTCCTCCTGCTACTGTTCCTACCGATGCTCTACGCGCCCACCCCACTCCCCTGCCACTGTTCCTGCTGATGCTCGACGAGCCCGCTGTAGGGTCGAGATGACGGACTAGAGTGGAGTGAATAGTTTTTTCTAAAATTAAATGCACCGGCTTACCGAAATAAATGCGAAATTAAAACTATCGGTTTAACCAAGACTACACCCCTCCATTTAAGTTCACAAGCACCTTATAAAGATCCTAATTAGGCAGCAAAAATGCCGGACTAGTTAGAGTACACCAAAGCAATTCTAGAGTAAGGCCACACAAACCTATGCATTAGTACGTTGACAACCGAGGGAGCTCATACACAACTAGTAAAACAAAAGCGCAAAACCACCTAACCTCACTAGCAATGCTCAATAACAAGATTACACAAGCCATATTATAGAGCACAAATTACTTAGCTACATAAACTAAGCAATGTGACTAACAAGATTACTAAAACCAAATTAGCCACGTAAGGGAGCTACTTCAATGCTACACAAGCAAGAAGGCAACTAGCAAGCTACTAAAGCTAAACTAGTCACAACAGCAACTACACAAGCACAATGTAAATGAAAGTAATACAAGCTTGTGTTGCACGGAATGCAAACCACCGTGAAGATGATGAAGGCAATGTTGACACGGTGATTTTCTTCCGAAGTTCACTTGTTGCCACCAAGTTACGTCCCCGTTATGTCGACCGCTCACTTGGTGGTTCGGCGGCTAATTGGCATCACCCGTCAAGCCCGCACGTCGGGCACCACAAGAACCTACCTCGAAAGTGAGGGTAGCTCAATGACACGCTCAACTAGAGTTGCTCTTTATGATCCCCGTAGGGTGAGCACAATCCCCCACACAAATCATCCCCCGAAGCACAGTATAATCTTCTCGCATGCTTCAATGGAGTCGCAAGCCACCAAGCCGTCTAGGAGGTGGCAACCTCTAAGAGTAACAAGCACCATCGGCTTCCAACATGATCACCTAGTGCCACTCGATGCAATCTCACGATGCAATCGTACTAGAATCGCTCACTTACTCGATCGGATGAACACTATCAAGCTCAAGTGAGTTAGAGGGCTCCCAAACACCACCACATAAGCCATCAAGGCTCTAGTGTGCCCAGCAACTAGCCTAAAGCCGGCTAACACTTCTATTTATAGTCACACGGGCTAAACTAGCTGTTGCCCCTTCACTAAGCTTTCTGCGACGCGATCGGACGCGCAGATCACCTTGACCGGACACACCCGGCTAGCGTCCAGTCACAGTCCACCGTCCACGTGTCGCCCTACGTTCAACTGGAGTCGCCCGATCTCAACGGTAACTTCACTTGCCAACGGTCAAGACGACCGGCCGCACCAAGCCCGCGACCTTACGCACCCGAGCTGCGCCAGATCGCCCCCTGCGCGTGTGAAGCCAACACCTGACCGGACACGCCTCTGCTCCATGACCTGACACACCACCGTCTGAGTCTGGTCATTTCCAGAGAGCTCTCCAAGCCTCTATATTGCGACCGGACGCGTCAGGCGAGTCACGATCGGACGCAGCACCTAAGTCAGGTCCTTCACCGCCTGCCACGTGTCAAAGCTACGCCCGCGCCATTGCATCAGCGTACGTCAGAGATGACCAGACGTGGCCCCTGCGCGTCAGGTCACTCTTTGCGCTAGCGTCCGGTCACAAGACCGAGAACGCGCGCTCTCTGCTACCACTTGACCGGACGCGCATGTCCTGCCGAGGCCAGCGTCCGGTCACTCACAGTGATGGAGTTAATTTGATGAGTAACCTTAAATCATTCTTTAAATTCTTTTCTTTCTACTTGTTTAAATCCCTTTTTTTCTACTGAATGATCACCGATGATCACTAGAACTTAACTTTCATTTTCATCTTGAGCTTGGTCTTGATCTTCAATTTGAGTACTAAATATGTGCCAAGTACACTCCACAATCAAATGATCTTGTACTCTTTGCTTGTCATGCTTCTAGATCAATCCAAAACCAAACTTAGGTACCTCAAACACTTGTAAACATGTTTTCAACTTGAGGACCTTTCAATCAAAGTGACTATTGATCAATCCAATAATTATCACTTTTTTTTGCATATTCTGTACCATTCGAAGAAAAATACATATCTCCCAATGTACATACCCAAATGCCACAAAATTTGGTGGAGATGTGCTTCACTAAGTCATCTAGCAGCTGTAAAAATTTGAGCTGCATTTAATCTCATATTAACTACCAGGAATCAAATCTTGCACCACTGCTACATGCTGAAAACTGCTGCACTATAGCTGAAAAGATCTACTCCAAAACTAAAACATCTCTTATTCAATTCTCATGAAATTTCTACAGGATCTCATACCATAAGTCTAGAGCATGTACACCAATTTTTATACCAATCCAATAAGTTTTGATCACTCAAACATGACTAAGATCACAGCTCACTATAGATTTTGCAATTTATGACAGATTTCAATCACTTGAGTTATACTTCATCAAATGTGAATCAAACTTAAAACTAACTTATTTGAATACTTTCATAAGACATATATCCATTCAATCCACTTATTAACGGTCATTTTATGAATTTATCCAATATAAATCAATTCAAACTTGATTACTAAGCTGTTTATCCATTTAAATATCTCATAGCAAGCAACATTGCATATTTATCCAATTCAATCAACCCATATACACCCAAATAAAATGATCAACAAGAGATATACCTTAATTAGCTTATGATCATCCATAGCAAGCTTTCAACTCTAATATTTTGAAAGCCATCAAATATTCTAATAAATCACCAACTACTTGACACGATGCACTTGTATGTTGATAGCACTTGGACTTCACTAATTTTTTACTTGACATTAGGATAGGATAGCATTAAGCTTCACTACTTGACTCAATATATGATAATCAATGTGAAATCATTTGAGTCCCACCTCTAATGCCATGGTACCTACATATATTTATCCATTTTTTGATGGTACCCAAACTAGTTTGGGTCCTCTCATATTAGGTGCAACATATTTAGGCAATGCCTTAGTATGAGTAGCGGGATGTTTTGCAATTACAACCAATGAGGTACCATTGTCATCTTTCATAAGTATAGAATCATCATCAATTAAAATGGGCTTAGGAGAGTTATCTAGGGGACATGAATGTGTCATGTGTCCCCTTTTCTGGCATGAGTAGCAAACTCTCTTTGATTGAGTCTTTTCTTTCTTGTTCATTTGTTGGTTCTTATTGCCTTGCCTCTCATGAGTTGCTTGAACCTTTTCTCAAACTTGGTAGGACACCTCGAGGCAAAGTGTCCCATATCCTTAAATTTGAAGCACTTGATGTGAGCATACATTTTCTTCTTATCTTGTGTCTTGCTCATCATCTTGGCATCTTGAGTTTGCATTGGATGCCTTGTCTTTCCACCTCTTCTTTTTCATCATCAAGTCACCACCATCTTCAGGATTGATCTTGATTTGCTCTTGGGGTGTCTTCTCTTACTCATCTTGTGGCTTTAGTTGAGGCTCTTCTCGTTGTTTCATCAATTTCTTGGTTGGACACATTGAGGTAAGGTGACCCAAGTGTGGCACTTGAAGCACTTCACATGCTTTAGACTCTCTTCTTCCTTCATCTTCTTGAGCTTCTCAATGTTTGGGCATCTATTTTGCAAGGTGTCCCGCTTCATGGCACCGGTAGCACATGGAGTGAGATAACTTCAATTGTAGTTGCTTCTTCATCTTCTTTACCCTTTTTCTTTCATCATTTGTCATCTTTCTTTTGAAGCCAAGACCACTCTTGTCACCGAAGTTTCTTTGAGTCTTCAACATGTGCTCAAAGGCGACTTTTAAGTTGTAACACCTCTTTAACTTGTTGCTCAATTTCTTCACTTTATTCTTGAGCTCATTGTTCTCCTTCAAAAGGTTAGTCTCACAAGACAAGAAAGTAGAACAAACATTTATATGTGAAGAGCATGACATTTCTAATAAATCATCACAAGAGGTGGGTACATGCTTCTTTCCTACATCACAAGAGTTAGTCATACGTTGCAATTGATCACTTGACTCATGTGATGAGCTCTCATTCTTTTTAAGTTTCTTTGAAAAAGTTTTAATGAGAGAAGCATGTTGTTCTAATAATTCTTCATGAGATGTAAGTAGTGTATTATGAGTCAATTTTAGCTCACCATGTAAAAATTTAAGAACATCAAATAAGTGCTTATGTTCTTCACATGAGTTCTTTAGAACTGAGTTTTCATTTTCCAATTTCAATGTTTTAGCTTTCTCATTTTCTAAAGATATAGTCATGCTAACAAGTCTACTAACAAACTTATCATATGAATCAATATGATCAGCCACATTATCATCTTGTACCTTTGTGTCACCTTGTGACATGAAGCAATAAGGTAACAATAGAGAGCTGCATCACTTTCATAGCCGAACGTGAACCATTATCTTCACCATAAGTGTGCATGGTAGCATCATTGACTGTTCGGACCAACGGGCCAGCCCATAAATTTGACCGGCGAACCCGATTCCCCAGCAACCCCAAACCCCAAGTCCCCTCTCCCGCCGGCCACGACATGGCCTCGCCGGCGCTGCCCACCGACGACCTCCTGTCAGACATCTTCCTCCGTCTTCCGGAGCCGGCCGACCTCGTTCGTACCGCGGCCGCCTGCGTCCCCTTCCGCCGCCTCGTCGCCGACCGCGCGTTCCTCCGCCGGTTCCGCTCGCTCCATCCCGCGCCGCTCCTCGGCTTCCTCGACCACAACGGCTTCCACCCAGCGCTTCCACCCCACGCATCCGCCCCCGCGGCGCAGGCCGTCTCGCTCGCCGCGGATTTCTCCTTCTCGTTCCTCCCCGCCTGCTCCATGGGCCGCGGCTGGGTCGTGCGCGACGTCCGCGAAGGCCGCGTCCTCCTCGACCGCTCCCCCGAGGACGGAGGCGAGGAGCCGCAGGTCTTCACGGAGATAGCGGTGTGCGACCCCTTGCACCGGCGCAGCGTCCTGCTCCCCCCGATCCCTGACGACCTGGCCACAGCGGTGGAGCACCCGCTCCGCTTGGAGTTTGACCGCTGGTGCGAGCCCTTCCTCGCCCCCCAAGGCGCCGACGGCGGGGACCCAGAGGATGAGACGTCGTTCGGAGTGATCTGTATGGTGCAGTGCAAAGCCAAGCTCGTCACCTTCGCCTTCTCTTCCACCACTGGGGAATGGCGAGCCGTCGCGTCTCTGGCCTGGCTCGATCTGATGGCCGGCCTGGGCGGCTCGTCAAGGAGCCCTGCGTTCTCCGGGCGCCAGTACGCTCGCGGCTGCTTCTATTGGGTTATGGATTGGCGCGACAAGTTTCTCGTGCTTGACGCTGGGAGGATGGAATTCTCCATCGCTGACGTCCCACCTGGCTGCCATAGGCGACAGATCGCCATTGTGGAGGCAGGGGAAGGCAGGGTTGGGATGTTTGCGCTCCGCGACCATGTTGCAGATGGTGCAGTTAGCCTCCATTATACTGTAAGGCGAGACGATGCCGATGGTTCCAATCAGTGGCAGGTGGAGAAGATAATTCCGCTGGATCCTGGGTTTCGGTATTACATCAGGGGTGCAATGGAGAGGTACATGCTCCTGCTAAGGTTTCCTGAACACCTAAGTTTAGCAGGGGTGCATGTAAGCTCATCGGCGGAGATGGAAGACTTGGAATGTTTTTCGATGGACGCCAGGACTTTGCAGCTTGAGAGGGTGTGCAAATTGAAGCACCACATTATGCGTGGGCATGCCTACATATATACCAACTTTCCACCATCCCTGTCGCCACAGAGTATCTAAACGGATAAACAGTAAACTCCTTCCACAAACATTTATCCCACAGCTTTTTTCTTTCTGATGCTATTTCTATTGATATGGTAAATTTGTAAGTGACAATCTTGTCTATTCAAATTTTAGTAGTGTTTCTTTCTGTGGTTTGTAGTTTTTGTTACCACATAGCAGGAACAATTAGTAATTTATTGCTCGATTGTTCCATTAACATCTCTATTTAATTGTCATCAGCCAAGTGAAAGATAGACTCGTCCATATTACGCTTTATTAGTAATATATCTACCATTTTAGTGAGCTTATGAAACCGTAAGGACACCATTTTGGTGGAGTGTTTTGTGTTCTAGTTATTGGAGAAGTAGCTTGAAACTTTGAAACCATTTTAATTATATATGTTGGGATCATTTACATTAGATGGAAAATTTTCACTTTAGAAATAGCTCGTTCATCTTAATCAAACTACTGCAGAAGGAAGTGTTATAGTACTTAGTAATTTTTTTGGTCATTATCTGGTATATAAATTTACCTTATGATGTTGATTTGGAAATCAAAATAATCTACATAAGAAAATGCTTGGAACTAAGATTCTAGGTCATTGCTCAGAATTATTTTGGTATGATGTGTGTGGTCATTTTCCCGAAAGCTGGTGTTGTGCGGTTAGAATCGTTCAACTCTATTCTTGAAGACGAAGACTTTGTTTTCAGTTTGTCCATATGAAACAAGGAAACTTCATGATTTTTTTCTCAAATACATAGGGATGTGCATATCATTTCACTAAACTAGGAGAATGAAAACTGTACAACACTGGACCCTTACAAGGACCCCTTGGAACACAAGAATTTCACAGGAAACGGAGATGAACTTTATAGAAATCACTTCCTTTTCCTACAGTATCCTAAACTATACACTGCTAAAATCATACCAATCCTATTGTGAGTTCTTGATGACTCGTTTCTTTGTGCTTAACTTTTTCTGTCGGGATGCAAGTTTGACATGCATTTGCTATAACTTCTGTCTTACTCCCTCTGTCTCTGAAAGAATTAATTCCTAAAGCAAAATTTTGTCCACAAAAGAATCAATCTCTAGAGCGGATGCCAATTTATTCCTCCTCGAAGTCTTGGTCGCATTAAATCACAGCCCCTCCTGTCTCTCTCTTTTCACACCCCCTACTCCCAAATTCCCCAATCCCCTTCCAATTTGAGTGTTGGACTACATACAACAGCATTTAATATCCTTTGAATACTCCAAACGACACATCTTAATTGTATTGGAATACACAAGTGCTCTCTGCAACTGCCGAGATATTGATGTCCAGCCAGGGGTAACATAGTCTTTTTCCTTGTTTGCAAATCTGTCCTAAAGTTGCTAGGAATTGATTCTTTCAGGGACAGAGGAAGTAGCTATTTTTCTTCTTTTCTTTTTTCCCCTCCTAATCAATTTGACAAAGTACTACTATATCTTAGTCTGATTAAGATCAAATAATGTTTGCTCTTGCTTGCTCCTAGTGTTTTGAATGAATGTGAGAAATACATCACCCTGATTTATTGTCTTCTTTGTACCAGCTTCAGTGGAGCCGACGAGGCGTGGCCAGCGCAGCATCCTTGCCCTCAAGGCTCAAATGATTGTGTGTGAGCTTCGTGTATGAACTGTTAGATTGTGTCTCAGATTTCCACATCCTCATGGCCACCACGGCAGCTGTCGCCATGCTGGTTGGTTAGAGAGATGATATAGCAGCAACTGAGAAACAATATCCGATTGTACTGCATAACCAGTATAGTTACAATTTGTGCAGCTTGTAAACGGTCGTGGAAATGGGTTAGTGCCACTACTCAAACTATCATTATGCATGTCTGGGATATTTGTGTTCAGTATGTTTCCGAAATGCCCAAAATTTTCTTCTGTATTTGATGGTGCTAAGGTATGGGTACTAGTTAAATTGAGACGTCCTATGTATCATTGTATTGCCTGTGATGTTCGAATTATTGTTTGAACTAAAATAAAATAGAACAAAATGGTGCTGAACTTTTGTGGCCAATGAATCATCCAACACACTAATGACAAGTTCCTTTTTTCAAGAGTAGAATTTACAACAACTAGACCATGGACAGGAGTTAAGAAGTTGTAGCAATACAGCATTTTTTTAAAATGAAGGCCGTTTTAGTGACATTTTGCCTTTTGACCCGTCAAAGTTGGCAAAGACGACTCCTCCCCTAAGGCATGGTTGGTGGCAATGTCCAGAAGCTCCTGGTGTCGGGCTCTTGCGGCCAAGCTTGTGCACGAGGGACTGGCTGGTCGTGTTGTTGGTGAACAAACCTACGGCATCAACCTCGGAGATTTTCGGGAGCTAATCGTGCCTCATAAAGAATCGTTGAATGTACTAAGAATTTTGGAGGGAAACTAGCATGAGGTTGGAGAAAAAGTGAAAAACTAGCATGAGATTAGACCCCATGGAAACTTTCTTTCTTGTCTATTTCTCTTGGAATTCTTGGATTTTTCTTGTGTTGCATCCAAAGGTCATAATGAAAACTTTCTTGCATTTTGTAATTACCATGCAACTTCAATTCCATGTTTTTTCCCATTACTGTGTTTTGATAATCCATCGTTCTAAATAGGCCCTAAACATGATAAAATGTAGCTCATATGATTTTCGTTGTGCATTGCTACCTTCATTTTAAATTGCAGGTCATTTTAGTTTATTCTAAAAGAACTTGTTTAATTTTAACAAAATCTATAGAAGAATGGATCAACATCTAGCTAGGGATGAGACAGGTTCAATAGCACTTTTTGGCACGGCCTAAACTCCAATAGAAAAGGGATGAGAAGGGCTGCTAAAACTAGACAGCAAAGGGGCCCTACGATTTAAGAATCGGTCTTAACGTGGTGGACTACGTAGGCTAGACAAGACTGTCACCGCTTGCTAGCTACCACACATCCGTGGGGCTAACGATAGACTATGGTACCCGATAGTATAAACACCACGTTTATACTATATGATACTACTCTAATCCCGCGCAAAAGATTAGACTAGAGCATCCACTAAGGAATGAAGAACTCGTACTACGAAGGATCCAATTATACTAAACAAGGCTAAGATTACAACACTATGGTCTAACTAGAGATCAAGACTACTAGAACAAGTAAGTAGTGCTCAAATGAAGTACCAAGTAGAGTAGAAAGGTAATATATTAAATACTCAAAATATCTTACAAAGAGAAAGATACAAAAGCTATACCAGACTCCCCAAGACTACTTTTTGAAACTCGAGCGAAGCTTGGCTCGACTTTAGCTCCCAACTAAATTAGCCTCAATAAGAGAGCTACTAGAGTGATTCTTCCTTCTTGTGGTGTGTTTCTGGAAGTGGCGCAAACACTGGTATCTATAGTGTGTATGAGCAGAGGGGGTATTTGTAGTGGAAGATGAGACGATAACCCTGCCAAGTGGTTCGGCCGAACACCTACGGGGTCATGCGACCTATGGATTCCAGTGCCTTCATAGAGCTCCCCAAGTTAGTTGACGGGGATCCAAGGCGGTTATTTTGACAAAATGCACTTAGTTGCATGGATGGTGGGCCCTTCAATCCTTTTAATGATACATGGTAACACTTAGTGCATGGATGGTGGGCCCTTCAACATGAAAGATTGCTTTGAAAGTGTGTTTCTTGACTTGTCCCACTAATTGATCCCCTTTGGGCTAGGGCCTTGGTCGGGTGACCTCAAGGGGTTTGGGCGAAACCCCCCTAGTGGGCCTCTGGTGCTGCCCTTTGCTCCATTTGTTCCTGGAATGACACTTTCAAATATAAGTGGAACCACGTTATTTGAAAACAAAATTTATTACAATGTTGATATCTTCTTCACTTTACCGATATTTGATGTTTGAATTGATCATTTAGTCAACATCAACAACTTCAATGCAAGGAACAACGCTGGTGTGGCCGTGCGGAGTGGAGTATTTCGGGTTGGTGAGGAGAAGAATATAAGGATGAGAGGTTATCTGATGGAACCCACTAATGACATGTTGGGCCGACCAAAATAATAACCGACGATGTTAAATCTATGTCCATCCTATTTGATTGAATCACCCAACCAAACAAGAGATATTGATGATTCTAGCTCTCAACCAAACACTATATGGTTCCCCAAAAGCAGTGATGGAAGCATCACATCTCACCTCATCTCTAAAGCAAACACACGTTTAATGGCCATGGTGATTTTTTTTTATTTTTAACACTTTTTGTAAACAAATTTTAAATCTAACACTGTTTAATTTTTTTTTCCAAAACTAACACTTTTGGCCGCGCCTATTTCCCTGGCGCGGTGAAACGCCTGTGCCGCGCCATGCAGGATGGCGCGGCGAGAGGGTTGACGTGGCGACGACCATGGCGCTGACCGGTGATGTGGCAGGGTCTGCCGCGCCACCGATCTTCGAGCGGCTCTACGCGCATACGATCGGTGGCGGCGCGGAAGAGCCTGTAAATACTACCGCGCGCCTTACCGCGCTGTCGGCTTTGTGCTGGCCGCTGCCGCTCGCGCAGATCGCCGCCGCGCCGCGCCGCCACGCCATGGGTCACAGACACCGCCGTCGCGTCGGCCTCGCCACGCACAGCGGCGCGCCACTCCCGCCTCACCCGCACGCGCCCGTCGCACCAGCCACACCACGGCCGCCGGCCACCCGCTGCACCTGCCACGCCTACACGCCGGCGCACCACCCCCTCCGACCGCCCGCCACCGCCCTCACTGCCGCCGCCCGCCTCCCGGCCTAGTTTAGCGCGCCGCCGCCACGAGGACGAGCGCCGCCGCCGCGAGGTACTCCCCTAGTGTATTTGTTGATTAAATCGACATTGTTAGTTTAGTAAGTTAGTAAAATAAATAAAGTTAGTATAATTAGTAAAGTATAGTTAGTATAATTAGTAAAGTTAGTATAGGCAATATATTAAGTTAGTATAGATAGTAAAGTTAGTACAGTTAGTGAGTCTAGTTATACATTGTATTTAGTATAATTAGTTGTTGTAGTTA